AGAGAGAGAGAGAGAGAGAGAGAGAGAGAGAGAGAGAGAGAGAGAGAGAGAGAGAGAGAGCTAATGCCCCTGCAACTTGAGCAAAAGCTGGCTCTGGTGGGAGGATTTCCTGCTCCTTCAGAAGTGCAGTTTTTTTTATTTATTAGGTTTTGATCCCACCTTTATTACTTCCAGATCCAATAAGGCACTAAGAATCCATTTTGTGGATCCCTTGGGCAAGAACTGATTGTTTTTGCTAAGCAAAGAACTATTTATTTTTTTCATTCATGCTTATGTTGTACAGGTAGTCCTCGACTTACAACAGTTCATTTACTGACTGTTCAAAGTTACAGTAGCATTGAAAAAAGTCACTTATGACCATTTTTCACACTTTCGACTGTTGCAGCATCCCCAGAGTTACATGAGCAAAATTCAGGTGCATGGCAACTGACTCATATTTATGACGGGTGCAGTGTCCTGTTGAAAAAATTGTCCAAAGTAATGCATTACTATAAAAACCTCAGTTGGGATTATTGCTGAGTCCTAAACTCACTTTTTTACCTACTGCCTGATGAATAAATGTACTATGAGAGAATAAAGGTAGCAGCTGGATCTTGTGGGAAGACAGAACAGTGGTTCTAAAATTGTACCAAATACACAGGGCCAAAAAGATGGTCCTCACTGGCAGTGGGGGGACCTTCATGGTAGGTAGCAGGGGTGGGTTCCGTCAGGCACTATTGCCGGTTCACTCATGGGCATGCTGCGCGTACAAGCGCAGTACCATAAAAATTGTTCTGCGCATGTGCAGAAGCTAAAAACAAGATGGCAGCACCTATGGCGCCGCCGGAGAATTAGTTCAGGGGCGTGGCAGACCTGGGTTGCTGCCGGTTCCAGTGACCCAGGCCACCAAACCACTACCAGTTTGGCTGAACCAGTAGGAATCCACCATTGGTGGGTAGATCTGTGAGGATTCAGGATCAATGCTGGGGCTCTTTTCAGAAGAACACACTATAGGCTAGGACCAATAATTGATTCCTCAATCTGCTCCTTTTTCCATCAGGAACTGTTGGAGACTGGAAGAATATTATGACAGTATCACAAAGTGAAAGGTTCAACAATATTGCTAAAGCAGAAATGAAGGATATACCTCTCAAATTCATCTGAGATATAAAAGAAATACCACTTACTCAGAATGTAAAGCTGCAGGAACCTCTCCAGGAGGACAAAGAGCAGAAATGTCCAACACAACTGTAATACCTATATGTAGTTAAAGCTACTACAATACACCTATGCGTTTTCTGTATGTACTTATGTGTATTGTGTGCACAAGTGCTTTCTGCTCAAAGCTGTTTCCTGCTTAGTGAAGCATCCTTAAACAATCATGGCTTTTGGCAACCGCATCTTTTTCAAAATGTTGAAAACATCCTATAATTTATCACCACAAATGGGTCAAGATATACCAGAATGGTTTCATAAGTTCTTTGCAATACAAATAAATGCTTTGGGAGCTGGGAGAAATGTTTTTGTAATGTGTAGCAAACAAAGATATGCTAATCTATTATTATTTTTATGGGCCAACATAATGAGTGCTTCAATAATGGGAAATAATTTTGGGACAGCACCTTTATATATCTTAGATATATTAATTTTGTAACGGTTAATTTTATAAAAAAGATGATGTTAAGAAAAAAATACTTAGCACATTAGGTTACTTGCATGTTATATCCAACAACTTTAAGTAATACCTACTGATGTAGATCATGATGTAGAGGCCAAGCCAGAGGGTACAGCTGATCAGGTTTCTCTATAGCTCTGGTTTAATAATAAGTTTAAAAATTAATTTGCAGTTGATATCATATGGAGCTTATTTTTCCCCTGAAGTTCTTCTTTCTCTTTCCATACAGTTTCTTGCCAAACATTAGCATTCTTCTTCTTCATTTGTTTGATCTATCTTGCTAATAAAATTATTTAAAAATTAGTTGATCAGATATATTTCATTAGGTTTTTTTAGTCTACTGCAATTCTGCAACTCTCACTGATTTACAAATATTAAAACACTCATATTCAATCATTGAACAATAAGCCATTCACAAGCAAGCCAAGATTAGTTCACCAGGCGATGGCCAATAGTCCATAAAACAAATACAAAACTGCTCTAGCAAGTAATTCCACTAAACCAACTCAAAGTCACCAGACAAAACTGAATGTACCTCCACGAGAACTCACTTGTCAGGAGAAGTTCAGGAAGCAAACAAGCACACAGCATACATGTTGTTCCCAACAACGCCTCCCTCTCTCTGCCATAATAAACAGCTTCCTGGTGCAGCCCATCAAAAGGAGTGGGGCCTTCTCCTGAGCAATCTGGCAGACCTCCGTTTCTCTGCCCTGTGTGCTCTGAGATCCACCATAGAAAACAGTTCTTCCCCATCCTCTTCACTGACTTGCAAGCCATTCCCCGCAAAAGGCTGAAATTCTCTTTATCCTGCCAGTTCAGCGTCAGTAATTAAACCCATTTTCGATGTGCCAGGAATAAACTCATCCTCCCTCAAGCAGGTCTCAAAGGGAGACATCACAACTCCCAATGGTAAGACAGTAACATAAAATGTTATGTCCTCGCCTGTTTCTCCGAATAGAGCATAAAACATAAGGTTATATAGACTTATGGTTACCAATTTTAGCCAGCCCATATAAATTTGCAAGTTTACTTCCCAGTATTCAAGTTACTATCAACACTTAATCTGCAACAGATTCTATGTCCAGCCTGGCAGAAATAGGCTAAGAATCAAACTAAAGATCCATATAGAGAGAGATCTTTAATCTTACCTTTTCCAAAATGACACCTCCAGATGGATTGTAACTATTATGCTACATGGCTAGCTCTGGAGAGTACCAAGTTGAGGAATGTTACCTTTTGTTTCTTCAAATCTGAGCATTCTACTCTCTGTCACTCATACTGTAGTTAAACCCTGATCGACTACCATAACATCTTTACATGGGGATTCCCTTAAAGGCATTCAGAAGCTTCAACTGGTACAAAATGCAACAACATGGGCAGTTGCATGTGATCCAAAAATTGCACATATTACACCTGTTACCAGTTTGCCTACCAGCTTGCTTCTGGATCCAATTCAAGATGCTGGTTGGAACCTTTGAAGTCCTCCATGAGTTGGGAACAGGTTATTTGAAAGACCTCTGATCCCCATTTACATCAACCCATCCCATCAAATGGAATAGCTTGCCTTCGTAAGTTGTGGGAGCTTCATCACTGGAGGCTTTCAAGAAGAGATTGGACTGCCATTTGTCAGAAATAGTGTAGGGCCTCCTGATTGAGTGGGGGTGGGTGGGTGTTGGACTAGATGACCTATAAGGTCCTTTTCAACTCTGTTAATCAGTCTTCCCATGCTTTAATGCACATTGGGTTATCCTCTGAAGATTTGGCTTTTGGCACTATTAAACCTGCTTACAAGGTCAGATCTGGAGTTCTCCAGACAATTTATGGGAAACCATATTAAAGGTTGAGAGCAGGGTTCAGCAGGTTCTGAAGGGTTCTGGAGAACCGGTAACAGAAATTTAGAGTAGTTCGAAGAACTGGTAAATACCATCTCTGACTGGCTCCAGAGTGGGGTGGGAATGGAGATTTTGCAATATCCTTCCCCCAGGAGTGGGGATGGAATGGGGATTTTGCAGTATTCTTCCCCTATCACACCCACAGAACCAGTAGTAAAAAAAATTGAAACATCAGTGCTTCTCACGGCCAACTATGTAGGCTTGTTTGGGAGCCTCTTCAGGATCAGAATGGGATGGTTAGGATCTAATCTAGCCAAGTGCTTCCCTCCTACTGGGCTGGTTTTGGCATTTCAAAGCTTGTTTCTGATTGTCCTATTTGGACCCAGCTAGGCGATAGGCCTCCAAGGTCCATAGACAAAGTCTATGAACTGATTATCACAATGCCAGGGCCAAGCCTAGAGATGACTCCCTTCCTCCCATCTCCTGGCACATCAGGACTCAAATCCAAGAAGGCATTTGGCAAAATCATAAGAAAAATACACATATCCCCACTAATCCAGTGAAATATTTAATGGTCAAGCCAGTGGTTTTCAGCCACATAATAAGATTTGTTTTGTTTTTTGCTCACTTTGTTCTCTTTCAAGTAGATTTAAAATTCAGACATTAAATGCAAACAATACCCTTGAGCAACTGTTGGCTGTCACTGGATCACTTCATTGTTAAAACAAAAGTTATAGTCAAGGTGTCAATGTATGTAATCATTTTTTTTATTCCTCATGTTCATTACTGAAACGGATACCAAAGAGAGGAAATGTTTCATTTTAAAAAGGAAAGGAAACAATGATGTATAATTAATTAAATCACATTGCACTTTTAAAAACTCTTATCTTTGAAAATCGTTTTCAGTATGTATCCAAACTTATAACCTCTTGCAAGCTCCTGTTCCAGAGGAGTTTAGATTGGTTTTAATTGATCAGGCACAGTGTGTAATGCTGCAAAGAACCACACAACCTTTGAGTAGAATTAAAATTTGAGTAGATTTATATATAAAAAGTCACTTATTTATATTACTTTATCCCTTACATTCAAATCATAACATCTCGCAAGCTGAGAGACATTTTTATGTGTAAAAAATTGGTGGAGATGTTATTCCCTCTCTGCTCGTAAGTTATCTCCTCCCCACTTTGTTGTCCCATGGTGGTGAATTGTCCCCACATCCAAGGGGTGGGGGACCACTTGTTACGCATTCAGGCAACCGGGCATGCCATTGGCACCGAACTATCATCAGTGACCCATCAGCGTCAATCCATCAACACTGCCCCAGTGGTGCCAAGCGATCCACACCAATCTGTTGGTGTCAACCTATCCACACTGAGCTTCTTGCACTGTCTTACCCATGCCAAGTTGTTCTACACCTGAGATGACACAGTAAAATTCAATTGAATCCAATCCTATATTTGCTAACACCTGTATTAGGTGATACATATATTATCCCGAGGGATTCTAGGATGTAGCTGCAATGAACTTCTTCCCTCCTGCCTTCCTCACCCAACTCAGGACAGCATAGTCTTTTAATTCACACCTCCCTCGTGCTAGTTAGTTAGGAAAGCTCTGCTGACTGGCTCAAGGTTGACTTTCTGAGATTGATAAAAAGAGGACCTAGATTGTTGGGGGCAATATCCTGATTCTATAAAATGCTTAGAGAGGGCGATAAAGCACTATGAAAAGGTATATGTCTAAGTTCTATTGCTTTTGCACCATGGAATTACTGCTTAGATAGCCTGAAATATATATTTCCTCATTCAATTGCACAATACATACTATGCCACTCCAAAGTCTATGGCTACAAGTCTATATAAAATTAGAAAATGCCTTTGCTTTCCTTTTACATTTCCAGCAAAATGAAGTTGACAGTTAATCCTTTCTCTGATTATATCCAATAAAATTAAAAACATTTTCTTAGTATTGAATATACTCTTAAGATTATAAAAAACATTCCAAATATTATTAAAATCAATAACCATTAATTTGCTAATATGAAGTATTTCTTAAACTTGGCAACTCTGAGATGCGTGGAGCACCGGGGAAGTATCAGATGACCAGAAAAGAGTTGATATCGTTCCCATCTTCAAAAAAGAAAAAAAATTGGATCCAGGAAATTACAGACCTATCAGTTGATTTCAATACCTGGAAAGATTTTGGAAAGGATAACCAAATAACGAGTCAGCGAGCACCAGCAAACAAAGTCATAACCAGATGCCAACACGTTTGTCAAAAGTGGATAATGTCAGACAAATCTTACTGCAACTGATAAAGTGACAAAGTTAATGCACCAATGAAATGCTGTGGATAGAATTTATTTGAACTTCAGTAAGGCATTTGATAAAGTTGATCACAAACTACTGCTTAATAAGATAGAAAAATGAAGAATGGACAGCATCACCACCAGATAGACTTGTAAATGGCTAATCAACCACATTCCACATATAGTCCTTGATGGAACTCCATCTACATTGGTCGCATTGACCGATGATCTCTGGAGAGCCAGGGATGGAGGCCATGCCTCCATCTTGGTTCTCCTTGACCTCTCGGC